AGGTTTCTTCAACAGCACCTCTCAAACCCGGAACCTCTAACATCTTTAAAAGGGAAGGGCATTAGATATATGGAATCCTGAAAGCCATGTACTATCCAGACTCAGAGCAATATAATTCTTCCCTCAGTCATTGGGCCAAGATCTTGAAATTTCGTAACAACACAGACCCACAACATGTTCAAACAGGCAGCTCATCACCACCTCTTTCTCCAGGGCAGTTCGTTTTGAATTATAAATACTGATACTGCCAGCAATGTCTACTTCATGTTAACAAAAAAAAACCACACAAAATAAAAAATGTTGAGGAAGTCCACTTTAACCTGGGAGAGTCAATAAAGAAAGAACGACAGCAACAGAGACCGAAAAGAGAGAGTGCAAGCAGGATTGGGTGCAGCTGGAGTGGGGTAGGGGGTGAGAACAGAAGAGAGGGGGAAGGTATAGAACAAGGACAGCAAGAGAGAGGAAGACTGTGAGAGACAGTGCAAGTCATGCAGGATGGAGACACAGAGGGGAAAAAATAAAGAGGTATCGGGCCAAGTTGCACTCAAGGCAAGGGGGCTAGACTCGCAGGCAACGGTGAGTTCAAAGATAGCATGCGACACAAATCAGACTACACTGCTTGAAATCTTTACTTTGGCCAAAGACAACAATTGCACTGTCAACAAGTGCACTGCATGGTAGGTTGTGCGGAACACTAAAAAATTCTCAGTAACCAGATTTCATCTGTTCACAGCTCCACCAGAAACCCAGTTTTGAAATCTGACAGCGCGCTCCCATTGCTCTGAAGACAGAGTGAGAAAGTTAATCATAAGAGACATACAGGCTGCATGAATACAAAATAGGCCTGGTCTTTAGATTTCTTCAACCAAACTGCTTTTACATTACTAATGTTATTAACAACCCATCAAGTTTAGCTTGCAGTTGGTGTAATCAACCACCAATCACCAAGGTTATAGAGTCTTACAGCACAGAATCCTTTGGTACAAATCATCCATGCCAACCAGGTCTCCTAAACTGAACTAGTCCCATTAGGTTGCTGGGTTAGAGGTTTAAAACATTGTTCAATGGCAGACAAATTACAAAAAGCATCCTTGAATTCCAAGGTGCCACAATCATTTTACTATTTGTGTTCATAAAAAGGCCCTAGCTTATTCTCAGACTAGCTATGCCTGCTTTCTTCTTTTTAAACCCTAATTAGATCTTTGTACCTTCTATATCCATCTTGATTCGTGAGGATGACAACCATAACACCTCAAATTAAATTTCAAAATTTCACTACTGCTGCAGCTTCAGGTCCCAGCTACTAGTCCTTTGATTGACAAAGGAGATCTGGTGCTATAATTGAACTGTTCCCAATAGTAAAGTCAAAACATCAGCCAAGGTGTTTGTTCCTATGGGAACAGGCATTGTCATGTTCCAAATGTGATGATAATCCTGTCTGCTCTCTCAGGTGATCTGAGGCATATTTCGAAGAGGAGTTCAACCCAGTGTCTTAGTTAATCTTTATCATTCAACCAAAATCTCATGGAATTATCTGCTGTATTTGTGCCTAGATTTTGACTCACTTTTTCCAGAGAACAGCGCAGCACAGGAATAGGCCCTTCGGCCCACCATGTCAGTGCCGACCATGATGCCATTCTAAACTAATCCCATCTGCCTGCACGTGGTATGTGTCCCTCTGCTCCCTGCTTGTTCACATGTACATCTAAATGCCTCTTAAACATTACTATTGTATCTGCTTCTACCACCTTCAGGTAACTACTACACTCTGCGTAAAAAAAATAAACTTGCCTTGCACATCTTTAAACTTATTCCTTCTCGCCTTAAAAACTTATGCACTCGAGTATTTGACATTTCCACCTTGGGGAAAAAGACTCCTACATTCCACCCTATTCTTGTCCCTCATAATTTTCTAAGCTTCTATCAGGCTGCCCCTCAGCTTTTCACGCTCGAGTGAAAACAATCCAAGTTTGTCCAACCGCTTCTTACAGCTATTACACTCCAATCAAGGCAACGTTCTAGTAAACCTCTTGCATCCTCTCCAAAGCTTCCACAAAGTTTCATATAGCTGCAACACGACCTGCCAATTTTTATAGTGAATGAAGATAATATGCTGTACGCCTTCTTTACCGCCTTATTCAGTTGTGTTGCCACTTTCAGGAAGCTGTGGACTTGCACCCCAAGATCCCTCTGTATTTCAATGCTCCTCAGGGTCCTGCCATTTTCTTTATACTTTTGTCTCACATTTCAGCTCCCCAAATGCATCACCTCACACTGTCTGGGTTAAGGTCCACCTGCCATTTCTCTGCCCAACTTTCCAACTGATCTACATCTCACTATATCCTTTGACAAGCTTCCTCACCATCTACAACTCCACCAATTTCTGAAAACTTAATGATCAGACCATCTACATTTTAATCCAAGTCATATTACAAACAGACAGAGGTGCCAGCCCTGATCCTTGTGGAACGCCACTGGTCACAGACCTCCACTCAGAAAAACACCTCTCCACAACTTTCTTCTGTCTTCTATGACCAAGCCAAAGGCTGTTTTGATATCTGTAGTTACATTTTCAATCTGTATTGCTACTGCATCTGATTGTCAGTATATGTCAGGAACCAAGACAGCATGGCATCAAGGGGTGGGGGGCTATCAAAACAAGAGTCAGGGGAAAATAAGGAAACTCTCCACTGGCTGGAGTCACACTTGGCATAAAGGAAGACCGCTGTGGCTGCTGAGGCCAGATATTTCAGCTCCAGGGCATCTCCGCAGGAGCTCCCTGAGGACCAACAATGTCCAGCCACTTCATCAATTACCTCCCCTCCGTTAAATGCAGAAGGAAGGAGTGTTTGCCAATGACTAGAGATTTCAGCTGCCAAGAGGCAAACAACATTCATACAAATACAAGTGTGCCAGGAAATATTCTCCTTCCCTATTGGAGATTTGAACCACTGCCTCTTGACATTCAATGCACTACCGCCGCTGAATCCTCCACCATCAACATCCCAGGAACCACCATGGACTAGAAACTGAACCAAGCCACCTGGACAGTGACTACAATAGCAGGCCAGGAACCTCAGCAAGCATTGCACCTCCGGACTCCCTATCCATCATCTAACAAGGCACCTAAAGCTACTACTTTTTTTAAACTGGATAGAAACTTTAAATAGTAAAATTAACTGCTGGACTTTGAGAAAGAGTGGGAGGATGAGAGTAATCAAGTTTCAGAGAGCCAGCAGACACAATGGGCTGTATTTTATCCCCTCTATGAAAATAAATAATCCACACACTACCTCCAAATGCCCTATCATTCTGTGTGATTCCAGTGTAGTCGCATCGCCCCAGGACTCCTCTTTAGTTTCTATGATTGTAGAACACTAGTGCTGTTTTGAACCATCATTACTTTCACCACTTCCCTTTTGTTCTTTCTCTGGTTCTAGACGTGTTCAAAAACTAATATCTTCAAATTCTGTTGAAAAGTCACTGATCCAAAACATCGATTCTGTGTTTCTCTCCCTGGTGCTGATCAACCTGCTTGGCAATTTATGCTTTTGTTACTGGGTGGGCATACTGCTAGTCAACAGGTTGGGATATTGCGATACACCTCCTGCGAGTTCTTTCAAATGTCTTAGTGTGGGCTCTTTCCCAGCACTTGTCCCATAGATCTCAGGTGAGCACTTCTAATTTGCCTCATCGTTATTGGAGGATGGTTGGCTGGGGCTGGGCAGGGTGGGGAAAGGAATGTAGCTTGCTCCCATTTCTCACGTGCCGTGTTGACAAAGTTGGGAACAGAAGCAAGTGCAGTAGTGATGCAGAATGTTGTCAAATAGATTAGCAATACTTGCAGCCAAGGTGCAAGCACGAGAATGGCTGACTGAATGAGCTCTGCTGCTGCCTGCGAACTCTTGGACAGCAAACTCATAGCTCAAGACGACTATGGAGATGTGTTGGGGAGGACTTAGGAAGAAGAGGAAAATGACACACAGGATACCCATTGAACTAATTCATAGCACAAATGGAGATACAATGGGTCAATTAATACAACTACACAAGACAAAAATTAAGCCTAACAACACTCATAAATGTAAAAAAGCAAGATAGTTATCTTCAAGTTTACTAAATTGTATGCAGCCGGGGATAGTTACTAAAAAAAAAAAAAAAATGATGTTAATCAAGTTCAAAAATAGGCTTCAGAAATTCATTCCACAAGACACAGAGGCCAAAACTTGCAGCTTCTGTATAACAGCTGACAAAGAAAATAATGATGCCACTTGCAGTGTTGATATTTGCAAATGTTAAGTTGTAACACATCCTATTCTAGTTTCTTATTTTTCTGTCCTAACTAATGGGCATAGATTTTTATAAGAATGGGCGTTGAAAATATGTCACACCATAATTGTATCCTCCCACCAGAGGCAGGAGGTCGTTATTACATTGCAAGTTTCAGCAAAAATTTTGGATATAAGAATTTGTTAAATTAAAGGGGTATCAGAATTGGACAGAATTATTAATGCATTACTAGATGGTTAATAAATACTACTATTGTTCCATAAGAGATCAATAGAGCTATTATCAAAGGATACCTAAAAGACTACTGTTATTTCTCATCAAACTCAAACAACAAATACGCTCTGATGCTTGGAGGGTTTAATGCCATTATTGCCCAGGTTGATGCCAGTGCTCCCCAAGCTCAACTTGGAACTCAAACTTTTAAATAGAAATACAGATAATTCAAATGCAATGGCCTGGGAGATAGCCGATGGCAGAAACACATTTGTTACACAGATACATTCATAAGAATTTCCAGTTCTTTCCTTCTCCCGCATTCCTCTTCCATGGAACACAGGATTTCTTAAATTTTGAACATTCAATTGGGATTCTGCAACTAGTCCAAAGTGAAGGAAGGGGGAGGGAGAGGGAGAGGGAGTCACACGTACACACAAAGTGCGAGAGAGAGCGCGCGGGTGAGAGTGCGAGAGAGAGAGAGTTGTCCATCTCACCCCACAGCAAGCACATCTCCTGTGGACTGAACTTGAAGATGCGTCGATGCTCCAGGCGACATCTGCAGTTCCGTCCAACCTTCCCTCGCAGGAGACGGAGGGTGAGGAGAGGCATGAGCCCTTCGGGGAGGGGAAGAAAGAAAAGGAAAGATTACGTTATTTTCTAAAATTTAAATCAGACAAATCGAAATCTACACAGTGGAACTGCCATTATACATTACGTCAAATTATCCTCCCAGCTAAAGCCTTGTGAAAGGCATAGCCTCCTTGACACAATCCACAAGGGCTTTACATCATAGCCTCCTTACCTCTGTACCGGAGCCACATTGTGAAAGAAAGGGGTGGCAACACTCCAGGATGTACTGGAGTCTCAAGAACTTTCAGAGATTAATCTCCTGGATGTTGCTACTGGCAAACCCAGATGCATGAACATTAAAAATAATAATTTGATTTTGGAACGCAAGATCCTAAGAAGTAAAAGGAGTAGGCTATTTGACCCACTGAGACTGGTCTACAATTCAGTAGCTCAGGGGAGATCTGATTGTGGCCTTAATGCCACTTTCCTGCCTGCGCTGCCACAACCCTCCTCTGCCAATCAAAACGCCATTTGACACAGTGTCAAATGACCCAGCATCCACTGCTCTGTACACAAAAAAATCTCAAATACTCAAGCCTCAGTTGAAATTGCTCATCTCTGCCTTAACGGGAGACCCTTTATCTTTAAACTGTACCTCCTAGTTCTGGATTCTTACAGGAGAGGAAGCATCCTTCCCAGCATCTACCCTATCAAGTCACCTCAGATAAGATTCTCTCTCATCCTTCAAAACTTCCAAGAGCATCAGCCCAATGTGCTCAACTTTCCTCATACAACAACTCTTTCATTTCAGGGATTACCATTGTCATACAAATGCAGATTAAGTTCAATGCAGAGGATTGTGAAGTAATACAGTTTGGTAAGAAGAGGAGACATGTAAAATAAATAAAAAAGTACATTGAAGTGTTCGATCAGCCATCGCTGGACCATCATGATGGAAAAGGCTTAATGGACTGTATGGTCTATTGCTGTTGCTGGACTACTGCGTCCAGTTCTGGGTGCTACATTTTAAGGAAAAAAGTGAAGCCATTAGAATGACTGCAGAAAAGATTCACGAGAATGGTTCCAGGGATCTTTGATTGGGATGGTTTTCCTTAGATGAGGGCAAGGAGATTCAATGGAGCTATTCAAGATCATGAGTGGTCTGAACACGGTAGATAGTGGGAAACTTCACATTGGTGGAAGGATTGAAAATCAGAGCACAGATTTAGGAGAGACACAAGGAGAAACTTTTCTTGCAGTAACTGATTTGAATTTGGAACGTGCCGCCTGACACTGGAGGCAGGTTCAATCAAAGCATTCTTACTTGGAGAAGGCAGAGACTGCGCCTTGGGGAATTATTCATTGGAGTTAGCATAGATAAAGCACGATGAGTTGCCTCTTTCTGCATTGTAACAGTTTAGGATTACAAGAACAATGCAATTGATTTTTGTGAGTAAGGAGAACACACTGTACACAATACTCTACTCCAGGTGTAGTCTCAGATAGAGTCATACAGTTATACAGCATGGAAAGTGACCTTCCGGTCCAACTTGTCCACACTGACCAGATATACTAAATTGATCTAGTCCCATTTGCCAGCATTTGGCCCATATCCCTCTAAACCCTTACTATTCATTTCCATAGTTCTAGTGAGACTTCTCTATTTTTATTCTCCATCACCCTGGCAATAAAGTCCAACATTAACAGAAATAATAAACAGATCCACAGCATATGATTTAGGCAGACTGAATACTGTCACATGTTGTAAAAGGGAATGGAATATGAACGGAGGGACGTGTTTCTACTTTTGTACAGGGCATTGGTGAGACCACAACCAGAGTAGTGTACAGCATTGGTCTCCTAGACCTGACGAAGGAGCAGTGCAACAAAAGTTTGTGATTTTAAATAAACCTGTTGGACAATAACCTGGTGTCAAGTGACTTCTGACCAGGTCTTCAACTGGAAGATAATCTATAGCAATACAACCTGTAGGACGCGGAGGGATCCCTTGGAGGTCCCAGCTCACCAACTCAGCACAAACTGCCTGGGAAGTCCAATTTTCTGATGGGGGACTTATCCTGCATCTGATACCCTCTGAAAAAGTCTCGAATTCTCAGTTAGAGTCAGAGACTTTGGAGGATTCGATTCATGGACCTGGACAGTAGCTCAGGAATGCTAAATGCATTAAAAATAGTACTAACTCTTGGCTAACAATAAAACTGACCAGCACCACCCAACCATGACTCAACATTGGATTTCCTGACGTCCCAAATGTTCCGAGTGAGCCCCCCGGCCCCCGGAAAATAATACCCACTGTGACACTATCCTGGCCTACTCGACTCCATCCTCACTCCATCTTACTTTCTCACCAACTTTAAGCAGAGATGCTTAAATTGATGACTAACTAGGGTGTCAAAGAATTTGGGTTGGCCAGGAAAGTGGCTTGATACCCCAATCAGATCACACATCATCTTACTGAATGGCACAGTCAGTCTGAGGGGCCAAACAATCTACTCCTGCTCTAAACTCATATTCAAAGCTCTTCCCCCAACGGAAGTTTAAAATATTCAACATTTCTATTCCTCCATTCTATGTTCCATCTGTGAAATTTTTGCCCCTTCATCTAGATCACTTCACAGAAATTGAATCTAAACTTGCCTTCCTATCAATTTCTGTAACATCATTACTCATATGATCAGTATCTTCACTCAAGTTATTAATACACAGAGCACAAAGTAAACGCCCCTCACTTCTTGAGATTTGCTTGAAGGTTACTTTTTTGCTTCACAGAAGCTCTTTCATCATTCTCAGGTACACTTTTCAAAATGTGCCCACGTGATACGCACATCGCTGACTAGGCTAGCTTTTATTGCCCATCTCCAATTACCCTCAAGTAATGGTGAGCTGCCTTCTGAAATTGCTGCAACTCATGGGGTGTAAGTATATCCACAGAGCTGTCAGAGAGGGAATTCTGGGATTCTGATCTGCAACACTGAAGGAACAGTGGTATATTAGGTGCTTCAGTTATTTATTTTTTTAAAATCGAATCCCTACAATAGGGAAACAGGTCCTTTGGCCCAACAAGTCCACACTGACCCTGAGCATCCCACCCAGACCCATCCCCCTTTTACCCGCCTAATCTACATATCCGTGAACACTACGGGCAATTTAGCATGGCCAATCCAGCTAGCCTGCACACCTTTGGACAGTGGGAGGAAACTGGAGCACTTGGAGGAAACCCACGCAGACACGGGGAGAATGTGCAAACTCCACACAGACAGTCGCCTTAGGGTGGAACTGAATCCGGGTCCCTAGCGCTGTGAGGCATCAGTGCTAACCACTGAGCCACCGTGCCGCCCATGGAGTAGTTTCAGTGATGCAGTCATGTAGTAGCAATACCTTTCATCAATCTCCCAACAATCATCCATCCGTTAAATTTCAAACCACAAGGAAACAATTTTCTTGAGACCATATTATTTAGGCTGCTACAAGATAACAGCATAACTGAACACAAGTTTTTTCTCAAAATAGCTTTGATTAAAAAAAAAGACTGTAAAACACACCTTTCACCGGTATGGTCATTGTTAAAGTTTTCCAACGTACAATCACATTTTAACCAGGCAGTTGCTATCCTTGTTACAGCATCTCAGATCAAGAACCAAATACTTAAATTTAACAATTCACACATTTTTCCCCGATATAGTAGCTCTTGAACTTATGTAGCCTTAAGCTAAAGATTCCATTTGCAAGACATTTATTACCTCAGTTATTTCAGATTTCCTAGTTAGTGAAATAATACCTTGGTGACAAGTTTAAAACAGTTCTCTCTCCTTTGCTACCTTTCTCCCAGCAAAAGGGGATTCCCAACTTCCAAAAACTCGGGCTCCCCCAACAATTCTCTCATTTACAAAAACAGAAATTACTGGAAAAGCTCAGCAGGTCTGGCAGCACCTGTGAAGAGAAATCAGAGTTAACGTTTTGGGTTGTTACCTTTGAACCAAAACGTTAACTCTGATTTCTCTCCACAGTTTTTGTTTCCGATTTAAAGCATTCGCAGTTCTTTTGGTTTTAATTACCTCACAACTTTCTTAGCTGCTTGCTGTTCCTCTTCCCCTATGGCTGACACCACATTGAAGCATCCACAAGGGTGTGACCCAGCCTGTGACTGCAACAGCAGATCCTCAGAAAGTCTCTATTTTATTTATAGGAATGACTTTTCTTTGATTGGTCACCTTGTGATTACATTTTCCAGGGCGTTTTGTTGACTTTGGGGGCGTGGGGAAATTTGCCTATATATTTTGAGACCTATTAATACAGATTGTAAACAGTTGAGGCCTGTGGTACTTCACTTGTTGTAGTTTGCCGAACCAAAAATTGCCCAATTGTACCCAGCTGTCTGCTTTCTCTTAGTTAATCAATCAGTCAGTCCTCTATCAGGGCCAATGTATCACCAATACCACCAGGAGCACTTACCTCATGTCGTAAACTTTCATGCGGTAGTTCAACAAAGGCTCTGAAAATCCAAATACGCATTCACTGGCTCCCCTTTATCCAGGTTGCCTGATAGATCCTCAATTAACTCTAATAAACCAGTCAGATACAACTTCCCATTCACAGATCTATGATGAAGAGTGTTACTTGTACACCCTTTCAAAAGTAGTCACCCAAAAACCAGCACTGAATGAAGACCAGACATTTTTTTTGATTGATCTTTTCTCATTTTAAATAGGTCCTGCTGATGAAGTAAAGTGGGGAGGCCTTAAACTGTTAGTAAAACTCCAATGCATGAGAAGTGAATTAATACTATTAAAACATATGGCCATTAACCTAAAGGACTTTACAATCATATTAGCTCATTTTCTGGTGTCCCTCATTCACTGAGTTAAAAATGTTATGATTTGAAAAAAGGCTTTCAGACCTTTTCCTTCGTACCCACCAAGCTCCAAAATCTGGTATGGCTACGGTCCTAAGGCTGTCAGATTTGAGAGGATGTACCTGAGAGATTTTCTACATGTGCATCTCTTTAATAATGCATCCTAGCATA